CACCTGGGAATGTTGAGGCCTCTATGGCTTTTGTAAATGCCTATTTATTTTAAGGACAAAATTAATTACAGGATTTGATCTTGTTACTCTGACACTGTATGAAGAAAACATGTACCCAATTATAAGTTGTATTTCCTAGTAATAACCAGCATTTTTAAATTGCTCTTTCTGCAATCTTTTCATCCACTTTGACTATCATCGTAATTTAGTCATAAATGTTCTATTTTGCAGTAAATCAAGAGGAAAAAGTCACCAGTCACAGGCAAAACCTTTCAAAACGTCTGAACAAAAACATTCAGAGTTTACAAGCATCAGAAACCACCACATTTATAAACAAAATAAAAACTATTCTGAAATGTATCCCTCCTCTAACACTTCTGACAAAGTCGCTCTGCTATGCAGCCTCTAATTTCCCTCATTTGGTGGATGAATCTGTGAGAAGAGCAGGGGGAAAAATCTAATGTTCAAATTACATTAGATGTTTTTCATGTATGACTGCCTTTTTGCTGACATTTCAGCTCTGTGCTCATTAATATGGAGACCAAATTAAAGTTATGATTGCTTGTTGATTTTCTTCCCTCTATATCCTCTTCTCCCCTGCTTCCATCCCTCTTTTCTTCCCTACTCCCTCTTTTTTATTTGCTTTTCTGCTTTGTAAGACATTTATCCCCTAAGTTTTTACATGCACTTTAAAACATGTTTTGGTAAAGTTTCTATTCCATCCAGTTGAAAAACAAAAGAATCAGTGCATATATTTCTTAGTAGAATAGCTCATTTAATAGCAAACATCTCGATCACACTGGGAATTCAATGAATGGGCAAAGAAGAAACATAATCTGACCTACAATTTTGCAAATTTCACACCCATCCATTCATTTTCTTACACCCGTTTCCCTAGTGGGGTCAGGAGGGGTGCTGGTGCCTATCTCCAGCGAATGAGGCGAGGTCACCCTGGACAGGTTGCCAGTCCATCGCAGATTTTACATCATATAAAGCTAATTAGAAAAAATAAAAAGGCAATCTAAGGTGATCGACAGGTGAGAAAAAGCCCCTCCCTTTCAGTAGAACCACACTCAGAGCGAGAATCTGCCACAGCTGTCTTGAAAAGGCAGAAAACCCATTCAGTTATGACTTCTTTGGAAAAGAAAAAACAATGTACAGCTTTGGTACTTGTGGCTTGGGCTGTGGCTCCTTCCAGAGTAGAGCACAGAACTAACATGAGAACAAAATATAGAATCAATCTTTGCAAGTTTATCCAAACGTTTTGTACCACAAGCCATCTTCAGCAAGTTGAAATTATTCAATGAGGCTACTTATTGATTAATAAAAGGCAAATATATATATATTTTTTTTCTTTTTATTTCCACACCAATAAATTAGACATGTAATTTTTCAGTGAAACAACACAGAAAAGAAGAAATAATTGCAGATCCAAAAAATAGTCTCTAACATGTACACTGAGAAAAGAAAGCTGGGCAGTTTTTCTTTTTTGTTTATCTAGAATGCTTTTTATTTTTCTGTCATATTAAAAAGAGACAATCTTCTTTAAAACGTTTTCTGTATTTAGACAAACACTAAATACAGTGCCTCCGTGTATTTAGATCTGCCTAAGTCTGTTTTCTGGTAATGCCAAAAAAAAAAAAAAAAAAAAAAAAAACATGCCTTATATTTCTGACTTCTCTTGCTACTATTGTTAAAATGAAATGTGAAAAAAAATCATATCTTTTTAAACTTTTTTTTAACTTTTTGATTGGATCACGCTTCATATTTTTGGGATTTCTGCTCTTTTTCATGTTGCAGTATAAATCACCAATTTGTCGATGACCATAGTCAATTTTCTTCCTTTTGTTGAAGGCGTGATAATCTCCTTTTATGACATATCGTTTCTAGTGTCATGACAACCTGAGATGCTAACATGGCGAAGTGCCATGTCAGGCACTTAGCCATGTTAGGCACTTGAACTTTCTTAGTTGAAGTTCAAGTTGTTAGCTTGTTTCTCTTTTCTCATACAGCAAAGTCTTACATTCTTAAGCTCCGTTATTGCTCATCTCGGAGGCTTTTTGTACCTTTGTTGTGTGTAAGCAAATTTTACGGGTGGGTTTTTCTGTGATGTTTAGCCTGAGCCTTCATGTTTCTCTTAGTGTTGACAAGTTTTCATATTTATTTGTTACATTTCTTCCTCTTCTCCTTTCTCTCGTCCTCAATCTGCTTTTTTGTCTTCCTCTTCCTCCTTTGCGTTTTTTGCTCTCCAGGCCAGCGCTTCTCAGTCCATCCTTGCATGAAGACTGACTGGGGGCATGAATACATCACAACTAGCCATCCATGCATCCCCCACCCCCACCTCTTTCCACTCTCCTATTTTACCAAGATCCCTCTCTCAGCACTTATCTCAAACTTTGAATCTCATGCATTTTAATCAACACGTCTATCTTACGAGCTCCCCCTCTCCCTCTTTGACTTTGCATCAGTGGCGTCTTTCACACAAACAACAACAAAACAGCATTGCTCTTCTTCTTCTCCACCAGCTGCATGTCCCCTTTTTAAATCAATATTTGCCATCAGCAGATAAATTGTATAATTTCCTCACTGTTAGAGGAATGTGACGCTGACATATTTACTTTCCACTTGTTTTCTTTTTTTGCCATTGATTCCTTGTTTTTGTGGCGTGGCTATTAGCTATCTGAAGGGGATGGATGGCCGTGAAGTGAAGAGCAATAGCATCTCCATCAGAATAGTTGACATTGAAAAATGGCCACCACCTTTTTGATGACAGCGCAGCAAAAACACACTCGTACACACATATGCAGTTACACACACACATACACACACACGCACACACACGCATGCATGCATGCAGGCAGAGCAGAGACATTTAAATATTCAAACAGGCAGAGGCGTTAATGATAAAGGACAAGGGAAAAGTAGAATCAAGTAGCTATCGATGCAGAAAATGAAAAGAGGGGAAGAAAAAAGAGGGGCTGAAAATTAAGTAAAAAAAGATGGAGCTATTGCAGGATTTACGAGAGGAGACGGATGGAAACACATGGAAAAAAGCTGGATGAATTAGGCAAACACAAGTGAACAGTACTGACAGTTTTACAGTAAAACTACTAAAGATAGACCATTTACTTCTGTAGGTTAAAGAAGAAGAACAACAAAACATACAATTTGAAGTTAGGAAAAATATGTTATTGCTATCAACAAAATAGCAAAGAAATACAGAAAAATCTGAGAAAATTGAAGAAAGGTACCCAGAATGTCTAGCCTGATACAACATACTGCAAATATGAAGCAAACAATGAAAACAGAAAAACAGATTTTCAAGAAAATTGATCAATAACAAATGTTTGCAGCTGAAGCCAGATAATTACATACACTGTGTGAAAAAGATAACTTTATTCTCACTGACATTAGAATCAGACAAGTAAAAAGAAACAAAAAAAACGTTTAAAATAAAATGTTTAAAAATGGCAAATACTATCAGTGTGCTTGATAGACTAACACTGCTACCTTTGTGAAAATGTGGTGTGTTTATGTATTTTTGTTTTTACCCTGTTTCTTGGTGGGTCTGTTAATGGGAGGGATAGCGGGCTATAAAAGGCTGCTGCTAAGACCCGAGGCTGCTGTGGAGCAGAGTAAACCAGCATCAGTGTTGGTGAATAAACACCCAGTGGGTCTGCAACTTTCCTCTGCCTCAAGTCTCCTACTTGATCCAGTCGCTGAGGGACATTCCAAGAGGTGGAGCTTTAATGGCATCATTAATTTACCACACTTTGATCCAAAATGGCCAACTTCCTATTGAGTTTGCACCATGGCTCCAGGAGAATTTTACATAGGTCCCACAAGTTCCACATACACCAAATTATATGGGGTTGATTTTAGAAATATTTCCAGGGGGCGCTGTGGAGAAATTAGGCCAGGTTGGCAAAATGTTGAACTTAATTCCCTTTGGGGGGTGAAATAGAATCAATCAGTGAGTTTGGTGCAGCTTGGCTGAACAATGTGGAGCCCAATGTATGGCATCAGCATGACATCTGTCTTCATCACACCCACATCCTCCACTAAAACCGTTCAGTGTTGGAAACCAAGTAACACCAATACACCTTCCATGTTGATTAAATCACAAGGGTCAGCTAGGAACTGTTCATAGTAAAACTTTACAATTCCTGTTCTAAGAGGCTGTGGCTACAATGATTTTATGATTTGACCACTAAATATTGTCATATGGCCTCTGTGGATTTCTACATCTCTAACCTGACTGTAGTTGAGTGGAGCAGAAAGAAAGGAAATCTGAAATGCGTCTTAAAACAAGATAACCAGAAAAAGAAACTTTCTCTGGTTATCTTACTAATAGGATGTATATAGAATGGTGGCAGTTTATGAGTTCATTAACTGTCATGATTTTAGATGATAGTCACAATGTATGTGAAATAAATTGCGGTTCCGTTTGATTTTAAACTGGCTCTTTTGTAAAAATGCTGTAAGTTGTCAACTAGAAAGGAAAGAAAAGGCAGCAGTGTAACTGTTTCTCTAAACTTACTGGAAGAGGCATTTCAGAGATTGAAAGTTTGCTATTTTCTTCCATATGACTTGGTGCAAAAGCACAAATCAGAATAAATGTAAGTGAGCTATTCGACAAGACTTTGTGATGCAAAGCCATGTCTATTCAAGAAAAGAAACAGCTCCATAAACACTGAGCATCCTGCCATCAAATAATGTTTTTACCTCTGGATAACTGCAGCAGTTTTCACCATAATGTAGTCTATGCATGTAAAGTGAAATCTGCAGCCAGTCCCTTGAACATGTCACCAAAAAATCATCTGCAAATGATAAAACAAAATGGTGAATAATAAAAATAAATGTGTACAAAATATATTCTTTTTTAATAAACCTAATGAGGCGGTTCATATCCAGAATTGAATGTGAAAGACATTAATAGCAAAAGCACTATGTAATGTTTCTCTGGGTACTCTGTCTTTTGCATGTTTTTTCCTCTCCAGAGCAGCCTGGCTGAGCTGCTGACGATGGAGAGCCGGAAGACGAGCCTGCTCAGGCAAGCTGCCAGTCTGAAGAGGAGTGGGACTGAACTACCGAGCAACTTACACATCAAAATACACAACCTCACACACACATGGCAGCAACTAGAGGTAATACCCACAAAAGGACAGACACCTTGATATTAACGGGAAGATATAAAACATCTAATAACGTTGTGCAGTGGTGAGCTTACCAGGCTGTAATGGAGAAAGCATGTTTCGCTCCAGTTGATCCAACAGAAAAAGAGCTGCTGTTTTTTTCTGAACAGGGCGTTGCACATTCTTTGCTGCCATGCTTGTTTGTCGTGTCTTTGTTCAGCTGACCGGCCTCCTTCTCCAACTGTTCACTGGCCTGTGAGCGATGTCAGCTAAAGTGGCAGTGTATTTTATATCTGACAGGGAATGCTTCAACGAGAGGTTAAAATGCAACATAAGTTATACTCGCCACACAAACAGGGAGGAACAATGGAGTATGAAACGCCATATGTGTATGTTTGCATGTGTGTCATTACTTTTCATGCGCAGTCAAACACAAAGATAATTGTCTCATGCACACATTCAAAGTTTTTGGGAGTGTGTGTACATTAACATATGTATCAAATTCTCTGAGACCGATTTCATTTTAGAAATTAAACAGCAGCAGCAGACGAGTCTCCCTCTGTGTGTCTCATCTTTTCCTTTCTGCTGTGTGTGTTTCCGCAACAATAACCAGACTGTGATTAAACTTCTATTACTGTTGTGGAAAGAGTTGGACTGACTTCGATATATTTGACTTTTTGCATGTCACCAACTTGCAAAAAGACCCTGGTTGGTACAAAAATGTTAATTGTTTTTTCTAACTTTTCGAGATATGGGATTTTTGCATTTTATTTATGGTGCATTTATTTAACAGCAAATTAAAATAATAACCAGAATAAAAAGGAAACTTGAATTTAGTGATTTTTAAAACAGGGCTTTTTGTTTTTTGTGCAGAGGAGTCTGGGGTTCATTTAACATTTGAGAACAGAAAGCAAGAAATTATCGTACTATAGAGAGTCAAAATATTTCTAATTGATCCAATATTTATTATGAGTCCTGAAATATGATCTGTGATTCCACCTGGACAAAACACCACATTAGGCTCTAACCTTTGGTCAAGGCCAACAATGCAGCTCACGTTTACAATCATCACAAAACATATGTATCTTAACATTACAGAAAGGTACACTAAGGTTTGGAGTCAATATCACATCTTGCACTTCTCTTTCACCTGTAATCTGTTGATTTTAAAGAAGCAGTATTATGTAAAATTTACTGCTTTAAGCTTTAAATTGTGTTCTGTTATTTACTCATTAACAAAATATCTGGAGTGTTGCCTTGATTCTTTGATTCATGCTTGAGAAATTCTTGAAATCCCACAATAACCATTCAGGGAGTGGTGTAACTGAATGCTGCCTTTTTGACAAAGCTTCCCCATGAAGCTGCAGCTTACAAGCTGCAGACCATCTATCCCCCATCACACCCCAACAGCTCCTCCAGACTAGCAGCAGCAGCAATTAGCAAACAACTGGTGGAACTGTGAGTTAGCTGAGCTTTTCATACAAATTACTTCTCAGTGAAACATTGTTACAGGCTAGAAAAACAACTGCTATCATGATGTGCTGAAGGAGTATTGGAAAGAGCAGGAACTTCTTAAAGAAACAAGAGGCCCAATTCCAAAGCATTACATTGCAAAGTAAAATTTCTTTTAATGTGGACATGTCTTTTAAATCTTGCCTTTTCACATGTAAATCAATCACGTTATGGTCTATATAAAGTAAAACTGCAATGCTTTGGTCTGAATTCCTGGTTATTGCAGCTCCACAGACCCTCATTTTAGAGCAAGTCTTTTTGCTGCTGTATTTTTAAATGTGAGACATTTCATGCTTTGCCGCCTTCAAGGTTGCAGAACTTTCCACTCTACCCTGGTCGGCCATTTTTGTAATTTAATTGCAGCGACACAATTATATACTTGGGAATAAACTTGGGAATAAACTTTATAAGACTTGTCTATCCAACCTTCTATGTTGGAGCCAGAGTCTCACCAAGAGGAAGAGAATGAAGGCAACAAGCCAGAAGAACCACACATTCTAAAGCAGGGGACAGTTTTTAGATGTGTCACAGGTACAAAACATTGGAATGAAATGGCTTAATTATCTCCTCCTTGTTACCCTTTGAGTTCTCCAGAGCCTTGCTAATGACCTAATTCTTCTATTCAGGTGTGGTGCAGAAGAGGCACATCTAAAAGTTGCAGGGCAGTGGCCCTCCATTACTGGAGTTTGACACCTGTGTTCTAAAGAATTCATCAAAAAGAAATGCAAAATCACCATATTGTTATTTCTGCATTTACACCCTCAACATCCATACCAACTACCTACATTATGGAGCATAGTGTCCATGCATGTCAGCTACCTATTACAATGTTAAGGCTACCACAATATGAATAAAGCAAACTGGCTTGACATAATTAAGGAGTTAGCTGACAGCACGTCAAGAACGTCACTGAATGTTTTTGTATTATGTTTTCCCCAGAAACAACAACAAAAAAAACTAGATAATTATGTCCAAAACATGCAGTAGCAGTTGTATCCTCAAAAGCTAGCACACGAGGGGGAAGGTGTAAGCGTACATGTGTGTGATTGACAGCGTTAAGACTCATCCTGGCTCTGATTGGATGTCTCTGACCAATCAGTGGATTTCTGCAGATGGCTCCTCTGGGAGAAGGCAGAGGAGCTCGATATTTTTTTTATATTATCATGTCATAACATGTTGACAGTTTTGAAATATATGTAAAGAACATATTTTTATAAAAGTTATACTGCAGCTTTGACTTTTGTTGGATGATGCTTTTTTGATTGTCTTTTAATCAGTATTCTGAGATGTGAAGATCTTTCACTTATTTAATCTTTTGTGCTGACATGCTCTTGTTTAGTCACTTTCTTTCCATCATCCCAACATGACGTCCCAGTTGCATATTAACTGGCCTTTCAGTGCTTGTGCTGGCATCTGCTGCATTGATGCAAATTGGGAATTAACTGGAATTGATGTCCTGTGTCTTTCCTCTGACCTATTGTGGCTTTTTGAAGAATTTATGAGCAAGTGTCAGTTTGAATGTGCAGATGGAGACTCAGCTAAAATATTGAGGAAAATTAAGCAGTTATTTAGTTTTAATTTTTCTCGTTAATTTTTCACAAATACTTTTCTTAATCATGTGTGGGCTTTTCTCTTTGTTCAGCTCAGTGAACAGTTTGATACAAAAGTATGCATACTTCACTATGCTATTCTTATAATGTGCAGGCAAAGGTCAAGGTGCAGCGCCATAGCGACGATGTGTTCAAGGTGGTAGGAGTGCATGTTTTAGCAGTGAACTTTTTATACTTTTCTACCTGCAACTCCTCCATAAAAAGCCATATTTTAGTTGCCTAGTTGAGAAAACAAATTTTTGTTTCATCAGTTTCCAACCTGCTGTTTTTTGTCACTGTTTCTCAGTCCATTGCTTCAATAAGAAACCTATGAGAAAGCCATGTTCTAATAGGTCTGCAGATGAGTCATAATTTTTCCATTTTCAGATGATGGATTGAGCAATAGTCTGAAATTCAAAGGCTACAGCTGGTTTGCTGGATTTCAAACCAGCCGAAAGCAAACTTTTAATTTTATTATTCAATGTTTTTGTGCCACTAGTGGCTAATTCACATTAATTCATCAGATTAGTATGTGGACTGGAAAAAGGGCAGAGAGAGAAGTGGAAGACAGAACAGAATTCAAGAATAAAGATAAAGGAATTAACTAATTAAATATGTTTCTAATATGTTTCTAATAATGATTAAATCATAAAACAATTAAGATAACATGATCATTAAAACCCACGTAAAAAAAACAAATGCAAGAGAAAACCAAAACCCGACCACTAATAGACCACAACATCTTTCTTCTATACCTGCTGACTCCTGTTGAGCTCAGTCTGGTCCTGGACTTAGCTGCGGACAGGACGGTTATTCAACCTGTCTTCAGTTTGGAACAAGCTGATCCTTATTCTCATCCCATTCTTCAATTTTTCTGTAAGACTGTAAATTCTCTTTTTGCATGACAATCATTCTGTTTGCTTCCAAAAATCTTCAGAGGAATTTGTTTTTCTTACAAGACTACTAAGTCTCACCATGTCATTGAAAGGAGTGGAAAAATTACCTATGCAGAACACACACAATGAGTCAAGCTTATTTATGTTGTTTCAATTTGAAACAATGATTAATCTTCTAAGTTCTTTTTAGTTAGTATTGTGTCAAAGTAGCATTTTCTGTGTTGTGTGAACTTCACATTCCTGTAAGTGAAGCTGAAATAAACTCAAAATTAATGAAAATATTTGGCGTTAGGACTTAAAAGTAAATGAATGTGATAAGAAGTGACCAAATATGAGGACTTAAAACAAGCAATAAATTATCACACACACATTTTAGTGTTAACATTCAAGTTTCTACCACATGATTTGTGTGTAAAGCAAATTTACTCTACCAAATACATGTTCAGGTGGAGTAAGATGACCAGTACGGCGTCCGCTTCACGGCAGATGCTGCGCCAATCTGCCTGTCAATCTCTGGCTCCCCTCTTCCCTCATTCGTGAACAAGATCCCAAGATACTTGAACTGGGTCAGGGAGGACATCCTCCCTGACCCAGAGAATGCACTCTACCCGTTTCTGGCTCAAGACCATGGCCTCGGATTTGGAGGCACTGATCCTCATCCCGAGCCTGTTTCTTTATTTTAAATTATTTTGGATATTGACCAGATCAAACTAATATTGTTTCACTATAAGGAGAAAAGGATCACAATTTAATTTCATCATTACTATCAAAAATAAATAAATAATAATAGTGAAATGTCCTGATTACTCTGTCATTCAGCCATGTGTTTGATCAGAAACACATTATTTTATTGATACATACATTTAGGTCTTCTTAATGATCCTTCCGTTTTTTTTTCTCTTCCATTATTTTTCAGAAAATTCTTTCAGAGCATCCAGTGCCATGTTCTTCTGAGCAAAAGCTGTCATCAAATACAAACACTCTGCTGGTCGCTGGTCAGGATGTGGCTGCTGAAAATCCTCGCTCAGCTTTGTCCCCAATGACTAATTCACTGCTGGAGCAGCTGGAGGCTCGAATCAAGGAGCTTAAGGCATGGCTTCGAGACACAGAGCTGCTCATCTTCAACTCCTGCCTCAGACAGGAGATGTGTGCCTCCGAGCAGCTTTCAAGTTTCAAGGTAGGACTAACAGTGACAGTGGGAATTTTATTATGATACCAGCCATATGTCTCGATTTAACCCCAAATCAAAAGGACACATGGACGATGAGTTTGGTGTTGAAGAATGGGATTAGTAGAAGATCATCAGCATAAATTAGCGGAGTGATGGACCAGGCTTTCTCAGGGTCATGACCTCACACATGCATTTTCTGGAAGAACGGTAAAAATAAACATCCCATAATCTTAGCCCTGAACCACCTCAGAATGGTTCTGCTGCAAATGCAGGCTCATATATGAATCCTGATGGATTAAGAATCATAATATTCACTCAAGTTCATAGTTGTGTGTGTCAGTAGAAGAAAGAATATTTTGGCCACATAAAGCATGTTTGACTAGATCATCTAGTTGATTTTTGTTTTAAGAGGCACTTTTACATGTTAAGCTTTCCATTGACAGAAATGATTGTAATATAACATCTTATATCAAAGACAAAAAACAACATATTGAGTGCTTGCATTTCTATGTACTGCTGCTATGTTTAGCAGTGCATCATCTTAATGAGGCCAACCAAAAGCATGGCTGTTTTGAAGCTATGGATGTATAGAGGAAACAGCAGTTAGCCTTAAAAGCAACGGGACGTTAACAGGATATTAATCAGCCCACATCACACAGCAAAAAGCTAGCTGCGCTAATTAGCCTAGCCCCGCAGTGTGACTGACAACCATAAACACACATATACACACACACACTCACACAATGTGCACCCGCTGAACTAGAAAAGCAAATACACAAAGCTAAATGAATGCATGTATTTCTATGTGCCCTCACATGCTGAGAACTCAATGTACACTTTCAATCCACTCTGAGACAAAAGAAATATGCTAATGAATTACATCCAACTTATACTGACTCAAAAGATAAATATGCAAAATTAGGAGGATAACTTTAATAACACAGATATAATCACATCTTCACAGCAGACACAAACCAGCTGATGAATTCAGTTGCTTCAAGGTACATCCAATACAGCACAATGCAAACACTTTGGGAGAGGAAACTTTTTGCCCTGCTATTGTAGTTTTCAAAAATGAATATGATTGATTGTCCATCCAATGATGGGCCAAAGACAGTCCATGACAGTCCTTACAAGTGCTGAGAATTAGGGATGCTCCGATCAGGTTTTTTGCTGCCAATTCCAATACCAATCACCCATGAGGCCGATCTCTGCCGATCACTGGCTGTTAATTTTTCACATTAGGTATAAATGATACTATGTGATCTCCCAAAATGGAAAAACTATCTGGTAATAAATTCCCCTAATTTAGACATAAAACATGCAAAATACTTGCAGGCACAATGCAACAGCTGTTCAGTCAAAAGGACAACTGAAAAACCTGCAGTCAATAAATTAATACTTGACAGTAAGGCTCTCAACAGCCTAATTTATGCATAAATTAAATAAATCTTATAACAGTGCTTTTTACTTTATATTATTTGATGTCAATCAAAAAAGGAAACATTAATTCAATGTTGGCACAGATTGCATCAACATACAAGTTTCTGAGATACTACATCAAAACTTCCTGAGAACATGGCGGTTTTGTTCTGGTTCTGATTGGTTGGTTCTGACTAAGCTGAGTTCTGCAGAACACAGGAAGAAGCAGAAGAGATTGATTATTTGTTCAGAGATTGATTATTTAATAATAATTATTTTAAATTGATTGATTATTTGTTCATAATCAATTTTACCTGCTGTCTGTTCGCTTTTTTCCTTCAATGATCCTGCCAAACTGTAGCCAAACTCCGACAAGTGTATGTTTTTTAAATGTCATATTACTCGTGGTGTTGATGCATTTTGATGCATTTGCCAAATTTTTCACCACAACATGCAATCACTCAGAGTATTATAGTTCCACACGGCATCGCTTAGGATTTGTTGCTGCGTGCTTGCATAGTGTGAAGGAAAGAGGAGATAAGCTGCACACGCAGGCTGAGAAGTGAGATAAAGGTGATCAGCAATAGGAGATTGTGACTGGTGATTATATCTTATTGCCGATATTGTGAATATTAAATATTGTGAACATATTAGATATTGCTGAAACTGGCAATCTCTTATTGCCAGTAAGAGATTGACAATGGTAGAATGATCTACCATTGATTGATTGGTAGAGGTGTGCAAATCGATCAATGACTGATCGATCGCCACACCTCTACTGAGAGTACTGGAATACAGCAATTCAGCACTCATGAATTGCCAATTAACATTGCTTGACACTAATCAACTTCAGAAATGACAATTAAGTGGTTAATTGACACTTGACATGTGATTCTGTTAGAAAGAAGGAAAATGTTGAATTTGTTTCTGATGTTATGAAAATATGTTGAGCAACAAGAACTAAAACAACACAGCAACAGATATAAGCCAGTGTCACCGAACAATGTCAGCTGCAGTTTGTTTTTTCTAAAAGAATATCTGTAACATGATCTTGTTGAGGTATTCACAGTTGTTGCTGTAATCACACACAACATAAATGAGCAAGCCTATTTACACACACACACAGCCAGTCCTAATGATGAAACTCTCTGAAATGAGAGTTTATCTGAAGAAAGTGGGCCTCGTACTTTTGATCATTGTCACAACTCTCAGTGGGAAGCCATTGATTTCTGGCAGAAAGAGGCTGAGAGCTTCAGGAAAAATGAAGATTGGAAGTATTGATAGCAGTCATTTGTATGGAGAGACGCAGAAGGAGCTCCATTTCAAGAAAAGTCAAGTCCATTTTAGCAATCATTTGTCTGTTTTTGGCGTTTGGCCTTGTGAATGGCTTCGATTTTTGCACTATAGTTTATTACTGTATGAGAAAGTGGCAAGGGTTGCTATGAGTCACAACAAATACAAGTACAAGAAGTGTATTCTTAAATCTATCTGAATAATTTCCAGACAAACAAAAAGAACATATTTTCCTTAAGAGCACAGCTGTCTGATAATATGCAGATTTAGGTGGTGACTGAATGACAGTGCTAAAAAACACTAATTAAAATTTCTAGGGATATCAATACATTGCAAGCATTTGCACTCATACACATAAATAAAAAAATATTTTTTAAAGAATGTACCCTTTTTTCAGTTTTAGAGTTTCAACAAAAATGATCTTAGTCTTGCCACTTTTACAGCCTCTAGATGTATTTTTCTATATTCTCTTTTGTCTAACCTCAAATGCAGCCACACAAAGCTACACACCTGAGATTTCACCATATCTGTATTTGTTTTACTAAATGAAGCCCAAATAGAAAGGTTTTGAAATCCCAAGAGCTCTTTGCATAAGAATATATAACATATACTTTTTATCTATCTGCAGGTATTGTTCAATTCATGATATGCCTTCCTCTGATTGTTTTACAGGATATTTTTGTCCAATATCATCTTTTTGAACATAATGTGTGAAATGTTGGAAACAATAGTTTGATTTGTGCTGTAAAAAGATGTGGGAACCTTTAAAGGTTTCAGTTTGTGCTCAGGTTTTACTGTAGAGGAGCCCAAAGAAACGAGAGAGGAGTAAACAAGTTTGAAAATTCTCAGACTTTCTGAATGTCATTGTTAAATGTCACACTTCATTTCAGTAATAAAGTTTGTAAATCTGAGTGTATGATTCAGAAAATACTTCTGCACAAATTATAAATTCAATGCTGCATAAGGATGGCGTCCATGGGAACAACACTAATTGTAGTTGTTTATTTTGGATGGCTTGGGTCACTTCTTCCACATAATATCTTCACTCTTCTTCAGTGAAGTATCATGCATTGATTGTGATTATAGCACAATCAAGTAACTATGTTTACTTCAGTTTTTATAAAAAATGTTATATTTATCAAATATGACTTGAAAGAAATTTTACTTCCTAATTTAACACCTTGACATTGAGTTTAAAAACTCCTGCTTTCCCTGAAACTCCACCTTCAGGAAATCATCACAGCATAGCTTCTCTATTAATCTTAAACAATGTCTTGACCTGTGTTGCTCTGAGAGGTAGCTCCTATAATGAGCTCCAGCAGGTGTTTGCTAATTGCTGGTGGCTAGCTGAAAAAAGATGAATGAGTTTTTGTTTTAATATCAATAATAAGCTATTGATATAGCTTATTATAAATAATTCATTTTGCATGTGGTCTGTAGATGATTTATTGGACATAGATGAGCTATGTCACCAATTTTACAATGTTTAAATGTAAAGCTGTTTAGGTCTTACTTTATAACAACTTCCATTTCTCTCTCTTGTTGTATTACTTTCTCTCTTTTCACTCTTGGTCTTTTTTCCCTGAAGCCTCCTCCTTTCCACCTGTCTGTCTCTATCATGACTCTTAATTGAATTAGCAGTCTTGTAAGATATGGCATCGACCAGACGTTCCTCTGGCAGCCCTGGGCATCCGATGACTCTTTATTGTAGAGAAAAGGCTCTGGGGGACAGCCACACTAAGAATTAATGAACTGGAACTGACACAGATACATTATTATATTCATAGCTACAATGTTGAACTGGGAAGAAATACAAATTCTAACTTCCTGCTAAGTATGCAAGATTAGATGTCCAAAAATTAAGATTTTACCATAGACTGTACAAGTTGTTGTTTGCTTATAGATTTATTCTGTTCAAATCATTAAACAAACTTTAATATGAGACAAAGACTAAGTTTGCTTGGATAATTAGTTTACTTAGGGAAAACAAAATACCAAGCCAGTTTAGTGCTGTGAGAAAATATGATTACCTCAACAACTTGTTTTGTGATAATCTACTGAGACTTGGAATAATAACAGTAAAAATGGGTAAATGTTGGCGATATGTAACAAGTAATATTTTGTATTGATGTAAAGAATATTAGTTCTCACTTTGCAGGCCTGTTTCAGTTCAGTAACATTTGAGTGTTAATATTACTGAACTGAATATTAACAGTTCAGTAATAACTGTATTAAACTGTGTATTTAATACACTAAACTAATGTTAGATTAGACTTTTCAAGGCCCATATA